CTCTTAGTCAATGTTTGCCAACTCTGATTATACAAATATCAGTCATAAGAAATTCCCATTTATAACGATTTCGATGGAGATATTTTGTATGCGGCGCTTATAGGGCCAACGCCATGCATTGAATTTAATTAAAAAGCAAATTAAAAGTATTTTTATTTTGTTTTTGATAAAGGCACACTTCAATAACTAAAATATTCAATAAAACATTAAAAAATGCTTATTTTTGAAACTATAAATTAAAAATGTCAATTTGATAATAAAAAGGCATTATGCCTACTACATACAGACTGTATGATACAGTACATGAAAGGGCCGTATTGATTCCACGGTACTGAAATTAGAAAATGCTGTCTTAATTATGTCCATTGTACAAGTATCTGAAATAAATAAATAACAAAAGTGGTGTACCTTTAACATATTAATTAATTATTTTGTTAATTTACGAAAATAGTTGAAATAATCAGATCACAGGTCATTACTTCTTTTTACATGGCACATAAGTTAATTTACGAAAATAGTTGAAATAATCAGATCACAGGTCATTACTTCTTTTTACATGGCACATAAGCACCTACTATTCTTTTTTTTTTAATTTAGGGTGATTGGGGTGATTATTAACTAATATAATAGTAATATATCTGAAAATACATCTGACGAATTTAAACTGCTTTAATTCCATATAATAAAGAAGTATTTTCATAATATTTAATTTTAAATTTTAAAAGATTTCCTTATCCGAGGCTGAATAGTCATTTTCATTACAGTTATGATTTTATTAAGTGGGCTTCAAGCCTGACGCATAACCTCATATATCCATGATGAGGATTTCGCTGCACATATATGGGGGCTGTGTGTCAACTTGAAGAGATTCTTGTCACGACCGTGCTAGCATTTACTAAGTTAAATTCAATCAGAGATTTTACTTTGTATCTTCACTCCCTTTAAAATATCGAAAAAAAATGTTTTTTGCCATTTTAGATGGTCTTTCAGAGCGTTTTCTGTCTAAAGTAATATTCAGATTATCTCACGATTTAGTTACTGCATTACGGTATATAATTATACCGCATTACGGTATATATACAGTGGCGTCGCTAGGCGTCAGCGATGTCGGCGACCGCCGACGGCCTCGCGCCCGCAGGGGATCGCAAAAAGTTACCGACTGTGGATTCTAAGCATTTAATAAATTTTTTGAACAATGTGGTTTGATAGTGGCATTAACCATATTTGAAGTATTCCCGAATGTTTATATAGTAACCAGATTCACGTTCACAGTTCCAGTCAGTATAGTTTCGACGGAAAGAAGCTACTCAAAGTTAAATGCCGTGATTAAGACATACTAGAAAAGTATGAAGATCCAAGAGAGACTATCTCCATTGGAAATTCTATAAACTGAAGCAAAAATAGCAGCTGGCGCAAATTATGATATAATTTAAAAAAAATTGAATGAGGCTAAAAGTAGGAAAATTCATTTATTTTAATTTGATTAGCAATAAAACTTTCAACAATGTAACTTGAAAGTTTACAACTGGGTTATAAAGGGGGCCTCGCAATTCTGTGTCGCCGACGTGCAGAGTAGGTCTAGCTCCGCCACTGTACATATATATTAAAATATATATATTATTTATAAATGTTTAGATGTAACCTTAGCGTTAGAGTACCACACTATCATAGGCAGTATAGTAGGGCAACGGTGTTTGGTTGTCAGTCGTAACAGTCCAGCATAATTATACAAGGCTTAGGATATTAATGACATTTTAAAATTATATACAGCATGGAAATATGTGTACGATATACTATATCGATAGCTAAGAATTATTCATAGTAAAAAAAGTCTCTTAAACCCAGATAAGTATTGTGTTTTATTATACGTACGAGTGAAACAAATGTCCGCATGGTATAAAAAATTGAACTAAATGCCTAACAATTTTATAGATAATTATTCACACTTCCAACTATCAATAAATAATGATGACTGACCGTGAACCCCTTAAAATAAGGAGTTGAGTTTAAAAATAACATTTGACTGGAGAAAAACTTAATGACGATAGACGTAAGCAAGGTTTGCGCAGACTTCACTTCTCCATATATTATATTAAATTTCTTCCAGCGATATGGTTGTTGTATATTTATGGGAGAAAAAATACAGTACTGCTGAAAACATAAAGATAAAATAATAAAGTATACTTTCCAGATGAAGTTTTTTATATTTGCTTTTTAATAATTAAACAGAAAGCAATGCTAAATATACACACGATTAATTACATTTACACATCCACAAAAGGAATATGTTTAGGACACTCTCTTATAGATTTTCGTCGATGATATGATTGCGGCATATAAGTCAAATTAATGGTGATAGTGTAAACGTAATATAACTCATTTAACACAACTAATTGATTTCATATTAAATAAATTTATTTCTTCGTTTTTCGACTAATTTTTAAAATGTTTTATTTTTTTTTTTAATTATTTTTTATATTATCATTTTTCTTTTTTATTAAAACCCAACACCATAATCAAGCACAACAATAACAAAAAAGCATATAAATTTTTTTTTTCGTAACTAATTTTTTACAAAATTCGATGCAATGTTTGGATGATGCGCTGGCACTTCATAGCTATAACTTCCAAATGGCTCATTTGTCATACTAACCACAAGTTGTGGTGAATATTCCGATAAAGCAGAAAGTAAGTCAATGGCAGTTTTAGGTCTCACTGGATTGATGCTATTAACACTAACATCAATGTTGCTTGCAGGTTCATGTTGCGAAAGTTTAGGGGCCACTGCATTAAATTTTTGGTCTTCAATCAAAGGTAATGATAATGCATCCAAAGTCAATGTCGGTTTGTTTTCTGCTTTTGAATTCACTTCGTGGTTATAAAATCGCTGTGGAAATCCATGTTGAGAACTAAAGGATAACTGCACTGGCTGAGTTTGCATAGTCCTTAAAGCATTTTGTACAAATTGAAATGTAGGTTCACCTTGCACAGATTTCTTATAGTCGTTATGCAAGTTATATGGAGCAGATGATGCAGTTGGTACTGCATCGTAGTATTTTAAGTAATTTGCACTATTTTCTGCTGTAGCAGCGGAAAATGTTTCCGGCTGAAAACCGTTTACTCCGGCTGTATATTTGACTTTGTGAGGTATATTGTTTTCAAAATAACTATATTGTCCCGTAACTTCATTGTTTTCATTTGCACTTTGTTCGGTTTCTATGCCGTTACTGGTATCAAACGCATACTTATAACTACCATCTTCCCGAATATTTAGATAATGAGAATCCGTTTGGTGCTGATCTCGTGGTAGATATTGTGTTTCTACACTTATTTGCCTGATTAAAAATATAAGACACAGTAAGCTTAAATGCTTCATTATAAAATAATTTTTTAGTTTTTGTAATACGAACACGATGACGGCTTTAATAAAACTATAATTTCTGTTCAAATTCGTTGCAGTTTTATACTTAAATCGAAAGCCGCAAACTTTAGTATCTTAAATTATAAACTAACCACAAAAATTCTAACTTCGTGTGAGTTCAATTTTAGGGGTTGTGATGTATGTCTTAATTTTAGAAAAATTTATTGGAAAATGTTTTTAATGATTTTTTGATGTATTTTGTCTAAATAGATACTAATTATTAAAATAATAATTCATATTCTAAGAATTAGTTCACTTAATTTATTTAATAAAAATATAGTCGAGAAAGAGCAGGAATGTGACACAATAAGCCGTCTCTGAAAGACATGAACGTTTCAATAATATTGTATAATGTTAATGTCTTTCATGTACGAGGGCTCTTTGCAAAGTCATTAATTAATGAAAGAAATTGATATTTTGCTCGCCTTAAATATATTTTTCAACAATGACACTATGTTAGAGCTTTGTAAATTGCTACAATGATACTTTAAATTTTTTATACCTTCTGAATTCTCCTTAATACATTTATTACATCTGAACACCATTGGATGTTTGTTCCCAGTCAGCTACTTTTTCACATTAAAAAAAAAAATAAAAATCAGATAGGCTATGTTCTAACAAATAGTCTAGATACGAACGCAATTCAAAACTCAATTTAAGCAATTTAATCAAATAGCATTTAAACATAGCATATAAAATGGTGTGAACGTATTGACCTACGATTTTTACTACATCAATAATCACGAACATCTTCTTTGACAATCCTTCATCACTAGATCATACAGTTAATCTAACATATCCAGAGTTATTACCTCATTTGTGCATTCTGGCCATTCAATATCTTGGTTCTGCTACAACACCCACCATGAACACTTTTGTTTGACAAACTTTTAGCATTAGATCAAAGAGTTCTTTCACTATCTCCGGAGTTGTTACCAGTTTTTCACATTCTGACTGCTCTAAATCTTTGTTTTGTACAGCACCCATTCCACACAACTTAATTTGACTAAGATCCATCACTAGAACATAGAGTTATTCTACCATATCCAAAGTTATTACCTTATTTGCATGTTCTGATCAATCTATATCTATATTCTTATTCGATCATAACAAAAGTCGGTAAACTACTTTTGAATCATTCTCTCTAAGGGTGTAAAGTATTCACATTGTTTATAAAGTAGCTAGTCCAAAATTAGCTGCAAAAACCCAATAAGTTTCGATAACGAAGAGATAATATAGGTTTAGTCTTTCAAATGTTGATAAATTATAAAAATATATTATAAAAATATTTTTTAGGGGTTAAAACTCACTCATCAAACACGTCTCTATGTGTTAAGTTTAAACATAGTTTTCAAATAAAATTTTTGAGTATTTTCAGTCACACTGAACTAAAGCAAGAAATTTTTAAGCCAACATATTATAGCATTATTTATGACTTTAAAAACTAATGCATACAATATTAAAATTAGTATGATTAAAAAAATATAGGAAAAATCCAGAATTGCACATTTATAAAAAATAAATTTAATTTATTTAATTTTTTCACTTGCCACTTTCAAAATTCATTTAAATACAAAGAAATAAATTGTAAAAAAAAAGTTTTGATATAATTGGCAATAATAATCTAACCTTTCTGATTATCTCTTCTCAGTTACAATTATACTTAAAGCTAAATATCAATATATAATATCTGAAAATATTTCTTTGCAAAGAAGTTCTCTTAAGATGCTTCACTTTCATACGATGCCACCATGTCAGCAATTTCATCTTGCCGTAATGCTTCGGATGGTGAAAGTCCACGTCTTCCGCCAAGCGGAGTTAAGTCAATATTTTGCACATGCGCACGTACGCTTTGACCCGCTGGCAAGCCAATGTACCATTTCCCTACATTTTTAATGATCGTAGAATCACGATGTTTTTCCACCCAATCGCGTTCACGATCAATTTCAAGTATTTTACGATTTGCAGTTATTAATGGCGACAGTGAGCCAAAATCATCCTCTTCAAATTTATAATTATTTGTATTACTTCTATCACTACTACTACTACTACTGCTTGTTGATAAATTAGTGTTTGAGGTAGTACTTGTACCTCCTCTGCCACTACTGCCACCAAAGCGACTAACGTTACTGCCTCTTACACTGCTACCACCGTCAGAAGTACGAACTTTTTCTCCAAAATCGGTGCCAGTACGTTCTTCACCTCGATTTCGATTACTTCCTGGACGAAAATTATCACCTGATGAGCTGCTGCTTGCATCAAAATTGCTACCTGGTCGACTTTTACTAACAGTGTTGCTTTCACTATCAGTTCTAGTGCCGCCACGTGCATTCACATCATAACCACTACTACTACTACCACCACCGATCCTAGTAACAGTTGTTGTTGCTGTCCCGCCTCTATTGCTGCTAATGCTAGCGCCGCCACCACGTCTGCTCGATGTTTCAGTTGCACTGAGACCACCTCCAACGCCAGTGCCAAAATCATTTGCTAATTTGAAATCTGTATCGCTTAAGCGAAAGTCACTTATAGATGGATTGATGTGTGTGCCAGGACCTACTCTATTTTTTAGCACTCTGTAGCCTATACCAGCGCCAGCTATATATTCAACAGTTCGTTGTACTCCGACATCGTCCAAGTAAGAAAATGTGCCTCTAACTACACCATCTGTGGCGCGACTTTCTGCACGGCGATGATCTGGTCCAGCAGCTATAAGTTTATAACTACCGCCAGGACCACGTTGCACAGTCATTCGACCACGAGTTCTTGGTGGTGCTTTGTAAAGTGGGGATGTATAGCCGACATTAGATGGACTGTCCGGTACTGCATTCGAAACTTCAAATCCAGTGCCTGCACCAGCTGCATAGCGTACACTATGACGCTCGCCCACGTCATCAATATATGAATACAGACCTATTAAAATTAGTTAATTTCAATTAATTAGAAATATCTATATTGGTCGAAGTTTTTTTACCTCTTACTCTACCAGTTGAGTCTTTATCTTCTGAACGTGATTGATCGGGTGTTCTAAAGTTAAAACTGTATGTAGGATCATCATATGGATCTGCTAAAGGATCATCTGGACTGCCAATGGGTGGTACTGGATATTGTACCAAACTCATTTTTCGATGTATTTTTGGACCATTCACACGGAAACTGTAAATTTTTTTAATAATTCTAATTAGATAAATTTTTTTATGTTTTAAAAATTGATGCGTAAAACTGTCACATTACAATATTAAGTCAAGTGATTAATACCTATGTTCCTATGTATGTGTTAATATACCTATGTATGTGATAATTATACAGAGAATTTGTTAAACGCCCGATCTCTATTAGACAGGCTATGATTTTATGATTTTTGGACAGCATTTCGTATTTATGGATTAGATAATTTTTATAAATTTTTGTAAAGTGGAATATCTACTACAAATTAAAGTTATATACAATGTAAGATAGGATAAAATAAATGAATACATTACCATTATCACAGAATAAAATGGAAAAACTTAAGATTTTTATTAAACCATTGATTAACTAACCGGAATGTAAAATTTCTGTAAGCTGATAAATATTCACCGGAGCTGGAGGAACCAACAATTAATACAATCATTTATGTCCGAGTTTAGTACAATTTATATCATTTATTTTTCAGTGCTGTTAGCTGGCACTTAGTTGTTTATTCTTGTTTTTAGTTTTAATTCATCGGTGAATTTTTGTTTACATTGCTGCTAGATTCCATTTTTAAGACTAATACTTTGGCTGCTGTTTTCATAAAATAAAATTCCTTTGAAATGTTCTAAATATTATTGAGATATTAAAACATCTATAGACGAGGTAAGGTTATACCGGCGAACCTAATGTCCTACGTAGGCTAATTGACCTATTGTGTAACCGTATAAGAAAGTTAGAGATTTAAAAAAGACCTTTAATGTTTGGCAAATCTTAAAATGCTTGCTGGACGGAGGTCCTGGAGTTGGCTAACATCTTAAAAAAAGGAAACCCTTAAAATAGTACATCGACATCGCACATTCGATGTGCAATAACAAAGCAAATGTGAGGCACTTTATAGTCCTTTCTGCAACCGCGACAGGTATGATGAAAAAGGAAATTCAATCTACTAACGCGGTTCCATAATCTGCTGTGGCCAATCAACAAACCTACTGCAAACCCGATATTTCTTTCGGGCACCTTAATGATAGTACTTGACTTTTTCTTAAAAGAATTTGGTCAACTTGCACACATCTGCCTAAGTTTAGTTTACTCTTTCCATTATATGGGAATAAATAAATAAATATTAAATAAAGATAAAATATTTGTAATCACACTTCAAGTTTTTTGAGTTAGAATTTTCATTTGGGCTTCATTCGTTGTGTTCACTTCGTCCTATTATATATATTTATTAGCTTAAGTCTTATATTACAATATGTCTAAACATACATATTTACTTATATTTAGAGATACTCTTTATATATCAACTGATCTTTCAGTTTGATTATTTAATAACTTATGAAATGTACAATTACTTTATTTCTACAATTACTCTCTTACTGTGAATTTTATTTCAGCTGATCTCTGTAAAAATATAATTGCTAACTGAAAATTTGACATATGTATAAAAAATTTCACATACTAATTAAATTATTAAATACGAAAAATATTACAAGTAATTAATGTAATCTAGAATCAAATCTATTCTCATTCCGACAGTATATTGACTACGAAGTAAGTAAACAAATCTCCCATAAACTAATCTAAAATCTCTTGTATTTCAAATTATTTTCAAGAAATGCAAATAAAAACTTCAAGCGGAAGCACACAACATTGATTTAATTCATTCTTTGCCAATTGAAGAAAAAAACGGATTAAAACCATTTAAGCAAGCAAATTTGGTTTATGGATTTAACTACTCTCCATAGTGATCAGTTGAGAAGATATTCCTTTGTTTTCAATGTTAATGTATAAAAAAATTTATTTACAAACCAACAAAAAATGCTTGTTTTTGCAACTATGAAGACAAAGTTCCAAGAAAAACTGCAAAGAAAAACTGCTAAGAAAAATGCTAAGAAAAACTGCTAAGATAGCAGAGAAGTATAAATCAAGAATGTGATGCAGTTTTTTTAATCTTGAAACTGATATTGATACTAATCTGGTTTAGACCAGTGGCGTATACTCACATTTATATTTACAGTTTAAAATTTCAATTATAAATGCTAAATAGATACATGTATATTTTCAAAATTTGATTATCAATTTTAATTATTATGAATTATAAAGATAAATAGAATATAAGAGAATATTGGCAGAAAAAAGGCACTCAGTGGAGCACAGCACTGTGAACATAGTTAGCTTTTGTAATACAACTCACACTACCCAAACAGAAAACACAGCTTTTCGATTAAAAGAAATAATAACCCTTGTTGTCGGATGAGATCAGTAGTTCGCGACCCAAAACTTTTATTCTGACTTGAGCCAAACTCGAAAAGTTACAAAAAATGTCAATAGAATTCTCATCCCTTTCTATATAAAAGCGATATATTGTCTGAAACTGAGAGGAAATACACATACTACAAATCATAAGGGTTCCTATATTGATCAGGATAGTACAGTGGTAATGTTGATTATTTTATTGGAAACTGTGTCAAGAAAAAATTGTGATTTTCTAATTGTTGAAAATTGTTGAAGACTTTTATAATTTTTTAGCTTCTTAAAAATTAATAGTTTTTTAATTATTCAAATTTATGTTATTTATTTTTATGAAATCAAACTTAACAACTACCGTCACTGTCTGATGGCGCTAAATTAAAAACACATAAAGATTAGAAATGAAGTTCTTTTTCAATTCATAATTACAATTTGTTTGTAATATTATCAGTTTATGTTGTTGGCTGAATATCATTTGAAGATTGCAGTTAAAAATAATAAAACTAAAAAAATGTTTTCCACTACTAAATTGAACTAATACAGAACGATTCAATTGTAAACAAATGAAGATTTACAGACAGACAAAAAATATAAACAAAAGTGTTAAAATTGCTTTATTTATGCATCAGTAATTTTCTTTAAGTAATCTCTCAATACAAGTAAATATTATATATGCAACTTTTAAAAACAAGCATTTATTTTAAATAAATACCCTACATATTTTAAAATTAAATTAAATTAAATTAAAATTAAATATTTTTTAAGTGGAGTTTTTGTAAAATAATCAAAAAAAAGCTGGAAGTTTATAGAATACTAACGTTATAAGAAATGCAAAAAGGACATAGTCAATCAATTTTTCTATTTTATTTCATCTGTTCATTATGAAACTTGTTTGAAGAATTTAGGTTATAGTAGGGACAAGACTTACAGTAAACCAGCTTATTGTGACTACAGTAGATCTTTGTATTACTGTTGATTCTAGATAAGAAACGTGTTTACTAACGGTTAGATTAATTTAAAATTATGTCGAATTGTCTTACACATAGTTCTTATAGAGTTTGTGTCTTAAGTCTTTTATTTCTTATGTGATTGAAATTGATTATATTTTTATTCTGTTTTTAATGCTGTTTGCTAGCATTATTTTATTAATTCTTTACCATTTATTTTAATTTTATCTTGGTTTTTTGCTATTACTTGCTAGCACTTTTGGATATTTTGGTGTAAAATCAGTGAAGTTGAGCACTGCCTTAATACAGAAGTGAGGTGAAATGGTTTACTTCGTTATTGATATAACTTCAATTTATATAGTATGAGATAGGGGTATAGATATCAATAGGGGTATTCAGACATGCTTGGTAACTTGGTATCTTGGTAAAGTGATGGATGCATGTATTTTATGTATGTTAACATAGAGTTATTTAAATGCTTATTGGTTAAATGAAAAATATGTATAAAAAATTATTAATTGGTTATACAACATTTATATACTTTATTTATAAAAATTATTTTTTTATATATATTTGTTTTTGTAAAATTCCAACTTCACCGATTTACTAAGTAAGCGAATTATAAAGAAAGTACATCTGATCATTTTCGTGGTACTCGGTAATATATCAATTGATTGTAATTATTCTGAAGTGCTTCACAGAATTTAAATTTATTAAGAAGTATTAAAAAAAAAATATATATAAACAAATATTGATAAAAATAAAGAATTATATAAATGTAACAAAATTTTTTCAGTTATGATGAAAGAAACCATTTTCTGGTCAGATAAATATACAATTAATTAAAAATAATAAAATTTTGTGGTTGCAATTCACTACTGTTCGAAAAACCGCTCTATTGAAAACAATAGTTTACTATTCAGTACTGTTCGAAAAACCACTCTATTGAAAACAATAGTAAACAGTAGTGAATTGCCACCACAAAATTTAATTATTTTTAATTTATTAAATTTTTATCGGATCATACAGCTGTTTCAATTATTTACACTTTACCGAGCAACGTCCGAATTCCTCTAATGTATTACTTAATATAAATACTTCAGAAAAGGATCTTTAAAATTATTTTTAACCTGTTATTATTCTTTCTAGTTCGAGGGCTAGATGGCCCAAAATCGATTCCAAATGTAAATTCTCTGACTTAATACACAGAAGCAAATCAAAGGTATCTACGTTAATATCTGACTTTGCAGGGCACTAGACCATAGGACGGCATGGAGCTAGGCTAGGCCTACCCTGTGGTATCTCTCGAAGAAAGGACACCACAATACCTGATGTGTCATTGCCAGAATCTTGATTTTATAAATGCCTCTGACTGGTTCTAGCTTGACTTTCTCTCTACTACCCACTATTACAAGGTTTTGTGAATTCAAAACGGTTTTTTTTAGCTAAATGAGGAGGACTCGTTCCTCTCTCCACCACAACTACCTAACTACCTAGTTCAAAAGTTTATTTAATATATGCACTAATATTACGCACAAATCAATTGTTTTAATTTGAAAGATTTGGATTTTTGATACTTATGGCTTTTTCGATTGGTAAATCTGGAATAACTTTTTTAATCGAGATTCACTTTCAGTGATTTAAGTGATTTTCATTTTTGATTGGTAAATCTGTAAAATACTGGAGGTTAATTTATTTACTCTGGATATTTTCCAGAGTGATAAGATTATCCTGAAATTAAAAGCTGTTTTATATGATTTGACAGATAAAGTGTGATTTGATTCGATTCGAGATGTATTTATGAATAATATAAATTATAACTAACACAACTACAAAATTTTAGATTGCTCTAAAAATGTTCGATTTGGCAACAAAATTGAACGGATCTAAAGTAAATCTTGATTGAATCCAGATTTTCCAATCGAACAAACCATTACAGTCTAAAATTTAAAAACGAATTAATAAATTATCAAATATTCCAAAAAATCACTTGCGATAAATATTTGGCAATATTCGAAGCAACGACATTCAAGATCTGCAGCAGTCTCAGCAGTCTCTAATCAACCTTAAACTCTTGAAAAATCAAAATAGAGAAAAAAACTTCATTTTGTCGCAAATGATATTGAACTGAAGTTTCTCATTCAACCTTTTGAACATACTAAAAATATGTTTTTAATATCTTATTTTAATTACTAAGATAAATACTAAATATTATTAAATTTTTCGTCAAATAATTTTTTGAAAATAACATAAGCATGTGGAATGTGACTTCAGTGTTATTTGCTTGAGATACTCCGTATAGAAACTTCAATATTTGTTTTACTTACCCACGTGGACCTGCCGTATAGACAATTTCTTCCACTTGTCCAGTGGCTGGATTACGCGAACCATAACGGCCTCGTACAATTTTGTCTGGAGTGCCAGAGGCGCTGTGATAGTAGCCGCCAATGTCATCATTTTCGTGTCTGCCGAAGAATTGCGTTAATTTGTAATGTGTTTTATGGTTTATGGTCGGCGCGTGTGGTGTTCCATGCGGTGTAAAAATGCGTGAAAAAAGTAATGCAGAAATAAGTATTTTCTTAAAATATGATAGGTAGACTCTAAAGAAGTTGTTATAAATAAAGAAGTTGTTAAAAATTCATATTACATTAGATGTTCTTTTAAGTGTTGTTGGTTAAAGAAGCGTAACAAGTTTTTTTTCTAGTTCATTCAAATGTTTCCACTGAAGTATCTCGCCGGTTTAATATAGGAAGCGATTTTATTGTAACAGCGGAAAACAGAAATGAATTATTTCATTAAGAATAAATTTAAATTTTTTTATTTTGTTTAATTAAATTTTTGAGATTATTTTCATATCAATTATTATTATGATTAAGTTGTTTGCTTTAATAATTTTTTATTTATTTATTTGTGAGTCAACACTAAAATTAATTTTAAAATTAACTAAGAATAATGAGCTTTAATAATTTCATTTTTTATTTTTAACAAATTTATTAAAAATTTTAATATATTGTATAACTCAAATTTCGAATAATTTTATTCAATAATTTTATTTAAAAAAAAAATATATAACTTTATAGACAATAGAACAAAAAGGATGACGTATATGTAGTTTTAATAATATTAACTTATAGTAGGTAAACATTACGTAAAATTCTTATTTAAAAACTTTAATACATATAATTCTAAAATATAAAATAATTTTTTATAATTTTTGTATGTTTGTTGTATACTTTATTATATATTCATTATTAGTCATGAAAATAATAATTACAATATTGTAAATTGTACTCAAGGAGAGTAGAAATATAGAGTATAATAAAAAAAATATTTAACTTTGGATTATTTAACAAGAAGGGACCTACAGATAAAAATATATAAAAAACCGTTTTTATATAACTTTATTTTAATTATTATAGGAAAAAATAATTTTTTATATATTACATATATAAAAAATATGTTGTTTTACATATTTGTATATATGTATTATTAAAAACACTTTGCTATTAAAAAATGTTTTTAACTATTAAAATAATTAATTAGAAATGTTAAAATTCAAATAAAATTTTAATCAATCAGTTTCATAAATGAAAAATTTCTATTCTATTTACATGGAATGCTATCGATTTCAATAATTTTAAAACTATGTTATATTTTTTCAATTTTAAAATTTGTCTTCATTATTTACTGAAATTATTTTTAACAATCTTCAACTTTTATGGTACAAAAATAAATTCTCAATATATATTTATTGTAGCTTGGTCTCCCACTGGCTAAATAAATATAATTTTATATATAGCGTATCCTCTAACAAAAAAGCTAAAATTTCACTATAGTCGCTAATATTTGTTAGGGTATCCGAAACCAATGTTTTACATAAGCTGATATCACACTTCTTTTTATATATATTTTATTAATTAGTTTTATGCTTTATGTCATGCTTTATATTTATTGTATTTATTATGTTATTTATAATATTATATAGGTAAAAATAAAAATATTAATAAAATAAATGATACAAAAAAATTTCTTTTAATTAATAATATATATTCTACTGTTTCCTATTTTCTGCTATTATTTTTCAAAAATATATTATTTTATAGAAATGATCAATGTAATTAATTTTATTTTATTTATATTTAATTCTTTTTATATATTATATTTATGTTATATTATATATTATTATACATTTAAGTATTTTTATATTTACTAGTTCATATGTGTATTTTATTTTTAATATTTATTTAATTAATCGTTTTAATTTTATTGATGGTTCTCTAAAACATATTGTTTTGTTCAAAAAATATTTTGAGTCAATTTATTTTATTACAACGTTCCCAATATATATTGTAATTTTTATTATAAATTTATAATTGCATAAATATTTGTTATATTTTTTAAAATTTTTTTATATTCATACAATTATATCATTAATCTATATTCCATAATATAATATTAATATATATATAAAATAACTACAATATATTTAATTATTATTATTAAAATTTTGCTTTCTTTATTTTAAAAACTTTTATGGTTTTAATTTCTAATTTTTATTTTAAAATTTCTTTTTATGTATTTATTGATTTTATTTTGTTAATTTAAAAATTTTTGTGATTTTATTTACTAATTTTTTAAAGAGATTTTTTTCGAAAAGTAGTGAAGTATAACAACGAAAATTCTTTTTTAATATAATTTAATTAATTAAATTTTTGGCTGACCATACAGCTGTTTCGATTATTGTTTCGGGGCCTTGAGACTGCGAATTTTTTTTTAAATATTTTAACTTGTATAATTATAGATTTTATTTTTTTCTTTTAAAAATTTTTATGTTCTTAATTACTAATTTTTTTTTATTACAACTTTTTTTATTATTAATTTTTATTATTACAACTTTGTTGTTATACATTACTTTTCTTTTATAAATGTATTGTATTATTAATATTTAATTTTAATAATTAGTTATATTAATTATTAAATAAATAATTATTTATTAATTACTTATAATCAAAAAATAAATTGAAACAATTTTTTTCCTTTTTTTTTATTAAATATTTTTTCATTATTTAAAATATTTATTTTAAAATTTTTAATTTTTTATTATTTTTTATTATATTATTTTAGATCATATTTTGCAGTATTGAATTGATGTATAATATATTAATAATACTGCACTTATTTATTTCTTTAATTTTATTAGTAATTATAGGTTTTATTTTTTATTTTATGAAATATTGAAATATATTTTGTTTAGGTGTGAAATTGTTCCAGAAAAAATGGAATATATTTTTATTATATGGGAATCCTTTTTGTATTTCAGTTTTAAATACACAATATGGAAAGGACATCACATTAGAATTCAATGTTGATGCATTGAAATGATATTATTGCCTTTTTATTATTAAGTTATTTATTTTTTTTTTTCTCATGTGTAAATTAATTTTTTTATTGAATTATTTTTGTTTTTCTATATAGTCCCCAGCACAGTACACAGTAGCTTTCATAGGTCGTAATTTGGAAGTGTAATAATGATAATTTTATTTTTATTTTATCTTATATATGAATTTTATACATTTAGCTTATTCTTTTTTAATTTGGTTTATATAATTATAATTTATAAAGTCTCTAATTAAAATTGCCTTATATTACAGCGCAATAGATTTCGCAATGTTCCATTGAAATAATAATAATAAATTAATTTTTTTTTTGTATTAGTTTATGTTTGCATCGACTTTTGTATAACTTATTTTATTTATTTATTTTTAATTGGTTTCGTATAATTAATTTCTATAAAGTCTCTAATTAGGACTGCTTTATATTACAGCAGAATAGATCTGACAGGTAGCTATGTACTTCTGCGGGTTATGTTTAGTATATTAAATTGCATAGACACTACAATATTATATAATGTACATGAATTTATATTTTTCTTTTTTTTTAAACATTAATAAACAAATTTAAAATTTGTTTATTTAAATTTAAAATTTATTTAATTTACAAATTTAAAATTTGTTTATTAAAAACAAAAATTACCGAAAAGAGAACGATCCATCATCGTTTATTGTATTATGATCAATATCAGCAGACACATTTGAACAGAAATATGTCAATATTATAAATATTAAACACTTTAACATTGTTTATAATATTATATCGTTTTAAAATTGCATTAATAATATATTTTTAATCCTTTCAAATGAACAGAATTTCGCACATGAACTCACAAGCGAACAAATAACACAACACAAAATTACTACAACCGCACAATTAAACACAGAAGAACCGAAAAGTCTAAGAAAAGCACAACGACTGACTGCCTCCCAATGGGGACGAACGTATTTAAATAAAATTCTCAATGCACTGGCATTGTTGTTGTTTCCACTATTCTGCCATTGCTACTGTCGCTGCTTGTGCTGTTGTATTGCTGCCTCTTCTGCTGCCGATGTTGTGTATAGAAATGCTAAACATAGTTGTAAAATGTTTTGTTTTTGTTCATTGTTAAGCTGACCACCCACCACCAAAGCAGGAGCTTTAGCGTACATTACCAGTACAGTATCAGTTCTAGTGATGTTAGTGATGTTAAGCACACCATTTCTTTGCTGTTAATATTTTCCTAACAGAATTTTATTCTTTTTATATGTGATCTATGTGGCTTCGTTACAGAACTGATTACTTTTCTTCTGCAATGCTGCTAAGATATTGAGTTAAATACTGTCAAAAAAAAATAAAAGAAAGAAACAAGCAGAATTTTTACTTATTTCTTGCTGAAGTTGTAAAACATTCGTCTAAGATTCTTGTCTTCAATAATTGTATTTTTTGTTCGAGAAGACATCTCAGGGAACATAATTGTCAATTAAATTTTTTATTACATATGAACAGTATTGACATTGTTACTGAAAATGTATTTAATTAAAGTCAACTAACTTGAAAACACTTGTATTAGTTATGCTCAGTTTTCCTTATAATCGCTAGGGCATCAGCTCAGCAAAAATAAATTTGTAGTAGAATAGAAATAGAAATAGAAATAGAAATAGAAGGAATAAATACCGGGTTTAGGTCGTTAATTTAACATATAAAAATTTAAAATTTTTTAAATAAAAATTACACCTATAAATTTATGTTAAATATTTAATTGTATTTTCATTTTCATAAAAAAATTATTTGTGTTACAGATAATTCCATCTACTCTGTAGACCATCTTCAGTGGTCGTAATAACAATTTATTAGGAATAAATATCTCAAATTTGATGATAAAATTTAGCACTTATTTTTCTTTTTCAGAAAACTTTGAAAGTATATGAAAATGAGTGAATAATTAATTAAGTCAATTAAGATCCAGTTTCTTTTAAATTATTATTATCAATAAATTAATAAAATATAATTATTATTAACTTATTGAATTAACTGGTTAAGTTAATTATTACAATAAACTACTCACAAAACTTTTTTATGTACTAGCTATGTTCATTAGGGTGGCCCTGCAGAATACATATATATATTCCGGATCAGACGAGAACGATGCTGAGGACACTTTCTTCTCTGCGAAAAATGGCATGAATAAAGAACACTAGTAGAAGAATATATAGATTACTCAACGGTCTCACGGAATATCATTGAAAAAATGAAAGAACGAACAGAAAATTGAAACAAAATCACATTATTCATCGGAAATGTGCTCCGAAAAAAAAAATAAAACCTGAACGCAAACTAAACTGAAGTAAAAATCAATCTGGAGACCTTACAATTCGGATCTGAAATAGTGCTGAGCACACTTTCTTCTGGACGCAAACCGAACTGAAGCAAAAAACAATCTGAAGACTTTACAATTCGGATCTGAAATGGTGTTGAGCACACTGGTGCTGAGCACACAACTGTGAAAAATAAATAGGTCTCTTCATGATCGAGAATATTATTGAAAAAATGAAAGAACAAAACCTCGCGCAAACCAAACTATAACGAAAAGCAATCTGGAAACTTTTCAATTCGGATCAGAGGTTGGAGCCTAAATGAAGGTTATATGACAAGCATATGGTATGGATAGTTAATTTTTAAGATGTCGTCCCGAAGTAATATGGAAACGATCCCAGTGGTAAAAATTACGAAAAAGAAGAGGGGATGTTTAGTTCCCTTTGTGTAGAAATCGGACATGTCATTCCGGTGAAGGCCTGTTTGACGGTGCATAAAGCACTCCAGCTCCTCACTCACCACAAAAAAAAAGAAAATTTGGAATGAAAAACTTTTTTTCTGAACAGATTAATTATACCATTTTCTTGTACATTAGTAGAAAGGGAAAAAATGTGGAATAAATTTTGAAAAAAAATTTATTTTAAGGCGTTCAGCAGTTTACAACTTACAACAAACAATATATATAATGTTTCTACTTATAAGATATATTTTATATGTTCTCCTAAGTAGTAATTTTATGCTTACAAACATAAATTACTGATCATACTATGTGTAGTGACTTTAAATAATTATGTATATGTGATATGATTATTTTTCAATTTCCATTTTGGGAGCAAAACGCAAAGGTCAGGAAACGCACTGCAATAACTGCTACACGCAATTCGAATTGCTTTCCTGTTCCAAATTTTCGCGATTTACTCCGCATTCACTATTGCGAAAATTGTATCACAATGAGTGTAATCACCACTTACTCCAAGTCTAGGTCAGTGTCTTAGCAGTGCAATAACGAACAAATATAAAACTGCAATTTGCACTTCATCCATCCAATCGTCTGCATAATGCAAAAATTTGAAGTGCAATTAAATATAATTATTATTGATGTGCTATAATTTTGCTGCTACTACAATAGATAAAAAAAACGTTATGAAAAGATGCATCTCAAATTATTCTCTTTTTATTCTCGTTATATTCTTGGACTGCTACTGATTTTGTGGTTTTCTTAAAAATATTAAATATTAGTTCTCGAATTCGAGTTCATAGTAGTAGACACATCGCACTTCCGTAGTTTTTCTTAGTATGAGATAGTCAACGGATGCGAGTATGTTTACTGATGTTCTATTATTAATTGCAGTTTTTTTTAATGAGTTTAATTGACTTTTTATGATGTTCTGTTGAGAGTTTAATTTTTTTGGCATTTGAATTTCAGTCATACAATGTCCAGTTAATTTTATGCTAATTTGTGATAACAGTTATGTTCTATTGTTCAAGAAAATATTTTTAATTAATCAAGGAACTTTTGTGGTTAAATTTTTGTTAACATTTTTTACGTATGCAAATATTTTACGAAAACTTAAGATTCTTACGCACAGATAAAAAATATTTTAAGCTTGCAGTTAATGTCAAGAATAGAGTTCGCATAACATCATACCCTACACATATACGAAAATAAGTACTTGGTTAACATGGTCCTTTTTTCCATTAATATATTTTGTGGTAGGCTTTCCTCAATTTTGAAGAAATAAGATTTCAAGATCTTCGAAATAAGTGCTTTTTGATTTAATTGTTATTTACGTTAAATCCTATTTCTTAAATGTTACTTTTTAGGAATTAAAAAGACAGCGATTTTCAAGTCTTAAGAATATGAAAATCTTGTTTATATTCTATTTTTAACTTCGCTATAAATTATACGCAGTGCGAGATTCTGTCTTGTAACGCATGCAAGTCTATTTATCTACACACCTATATTGAGCTTTTCAATTGCTAATATGCATGGGAAAATCCATAGTTCAATACGGAAAAATGTTTGACCCTTACATTTTTTCAGGTAATAAGGAATTTTGTTTCTTATATATACTATCCAAAGTGAGGAAAGCGTTTTTATCACAGTTCCAGTTGTGATGCATGAAATAATTACCAAAAACATGTTGGATGAAAATAAAGCAAATCCTAGACATATTATAGATCCCAGCAGATGCATTTTTCGTAAGAAAACCGAATCATTTAGGTCCATAACATTTGTCAAAGTATTTTAAGATACTTTCAGTTGACGTACTGGTTTTTGGATCACGAAATCACTTTTTCGTTTTAATGAAGATTGAAAAAGGTTTTTTTTTCTTCTCCAGAGTCTCGGTCATTGAGATATTTTCGGTAACTACAAGATTCATGAGCTAACCAGAAGGGGTGCTTCAGGTGATCATTCGGAATATCTGAAGGATCTTAGCATACTGCTGAAATTATGCAAACAGTTATCGAAATTTTTTTTATATTAAGCAGTTTTTTTGCTAAATGGAAGATTCAACAAGACAAGATATTGAATGCCGAAAAATCTGTATGCAAATTCGTTGCGTTCTATTAAGAAAAATTCCAGCAATCTCATTGACATATCATAAAGATATTAGTGACGTGTTTAAGGAACCACTCTAGAAGGAAAAACTCCCCTTTATTCATTCCTGTCGCGGCTGTAGCGAGGATGATGAAAGTACCTCACATTAACTTTGTTTTTGTCCAGCTCATGAACGCATCGAACTTCTATACTAGGAGCTTACTGTTTTGAGGATTTTGGCCAACTTCAGAAGCTTCCTCCAAAGAACACTTTAGGCTTTGCGAAAGTTCAAGACGGTTTTCAAACCTTTAAGTTCTTATACGGTAACACAATAGATTAAGTCGATATGTACGCTCGCCGGTATAATCTAACTTAATCTAGTTGTGATGTTGGACAGACACTTAACTGACATTTGACAGTTAAGAGTAAGCTTTTACAAACTATTTTATTTGTATAGTTAGTTTAACTTATGCTAAAGAGATGGTTATATTTATTGGAATAGAAGTTAAGCAAATTATCAAGTTCTTTTAGCTAATTTATTAGCTCTACAATTGAAATTGAAAGGAAATCTATGAACCAGTATCCATTTCAAGGAAGCTATAAATGTACCGATATATGATTTAAAAATTTACGACGTCACTAAATAAGCTTACATATTATGAAAACAACAGTTACTGACAAAAAAATATCAAAATAGATAATTTTCTATCTGAAACGATTTTTGACATTATGTTTATGTACAAATTCTATTTTTCCTGATTTTTTGTTACCTATTGTTATCAAAATTAGAAAATTTAATAAATTAAGTTTGTTATATTTACGCATCTAAGTACAAGTACTACTATTAATATGCGTTCTATATCTTTAATAATATTTTCTACCACTGCTCTAAAGGAATCTTCGTATTCAACCACTTCTACACACCGACACTTGTTAAACAATGTTATCAATTAATAATTAAAAAAAAACTAAAATTAATAAAAATAATTTACCATATGTGTATTGAAAATTAGTTAATTAAAAATCTAACTGAATTAGGTAAAATCATTGAATTTGATGCCTCTTAGAAGCTAATTAGGAACAAAGTAACTAAAGCACCATTAACTTTGCAGTTTACACTAAAAAAACATTAAGTTTATAAATAAAAAATTCATAATTTCAAGATAATATGAGGTATTACCTTCATTTTAAGGTATTCGTTTGTTCTTATGAGTCGTACAAAAGACTTTGTGGGAACTATGCGCCACTGAGTTTCTATGTTCTTAAATGGTTTGATTCTGATTATGGTAATCACATATCTCGTGTGCAACCACATGCGGGTACATATATTATTTAAAAAAATTTTCTGAAATCAACAGGTACTAAATGATAATATGAGTTAGAGTAAATATTAAAGACTTAAAAATTTTATAAAGAACAATTTAATAATTATTTATATTTTTCAAATAAAAATAAAATTTTATTAATACGGAAAATCCGTTTTGTGAAGTGTAATAAATTTCAAATGCAAATAAAAAAAATATCTATAATAAAAAATAAATTTATTTCAGATTAAAAATATTGATTACTCATTTCCCAAAATCTTTAATATCTATACTAATTCATAGGTACTATTCTCTCTAAAATATAATACAAAATTAAATAAACGCGTTTGAATCAAAAAACAATCTGTTGTGTGACAAAATTAATTTAGGGTTCGGACTGGGGATTGCAGCCTAAACTTATTCTTTGGCTATACATAGCCTCGTTCAACCAATTTCAACATAAGGAGGAATTGAAATCGTGTCCCACTACCGACGTCAATATTATACTTTACTTACTACCCATTGATACTTTTATAAAACAAGCGCTTACCCTTAGTACACAAAGGCTTAAAATTTTGAACTATTGACAGTCAATACTGCCAGAACGTGGTAATATTCCATGAATCTATTCTATCGATAGAAAAAACAAATCAGATTACTTATGTCCTCACTTATACTTTGATAATAACATCGCCACCAGAACTCCCCGAAGACGGAAGTGTGAGGCAGGGCTGATTACAATGCAAGCGAAGATAGCAATTTACACCGACTAGTCTAAGATGGATAAATCCTATCAGCTTTCCGACTGTGTCTTAATATTTCAAGCAGAAATTTTTACTATCTTGAGAGTATGTTCTTTTACTGCGAACATGTATGATAATCTGGATAGTTAGATAGCTATTAAAGTTATTCTAATAGTCTACATCTTGTTTCACGAATGTAAACAATATATTAACGTACTAAGTAGTAGCTGCAAGATAACTCTATTTTGGGTTCTCAGGCATTCCAATACAGTAATAAACGAGCGCGTAGATAATCTAGCTAGATTGAGCGCATCTATTATGGAACCTTCTGTTTCAATTCCTGCTCCTGCCAACCACAGCCGAAAGTTGATTTATGTCCATTTTTGTGACAGGTGAGCTACGTAGCCCCTTTACTGAAATTGTAGAACCTCCAACTTAGTACACAGAATCAAATCTGAAGGATCTAGGTTAATATATGTTCTAACCAGCCACTGGACTGGACAAGACTGCATGAAGTCAAGCTCGGCCTGCCCTATAGTATGTCCAGCAGTACATGTCTACCGGCGCTCGTAGAAAAAACAACACAACCTCTGTGTGTTTATGTCCAGGTTTGTAAAAAATTAGCAAAAAATGAATGCTTCAGAATCGAATATCAGAAGAAAAGAAAAGAAAAATATCAGAAGAGTTCAGTTATATGAAATCATTTTTAAATGAAAATGTCATGAACTAATAATTAAAACAAAAAAAAAGCCATATTAGTATATTACACCATTTTCTTTTTATTTCCAATTAAAAATATTTAACTTTAATTTAATCAACCAAAAAAAATTAATATGGTTATTATGATATCGTGAGATTATGGATCACGTTTGGTGAAAAATTATATTTCTTTACTGTTGTTTTCATATAATATGTTAAACCATTCATAATTTTTTCCTTTTTTGTCTTATAGTATATAATACCTCTTAATTAATAATAAAAAAAAATATTAATTCTGTGAAAATTATTTCGAAATATAAATTTTTTACACTTAACCTTCGATATCCATTAAATACCAGTTCACGTTTTTTCTTTTTTTTACATCTTGACAATGTTTTCCCTTATGCGTGAAATTTTCACATCAGATGATGTGAAATGCTATTTATTGAAATCATATGCTTCTACTGAAGGCTTATCTATAAAATATTTATCCATTTTTATTTTTTTTTGTGAATGAAAACTTCAATAATAAAACTACAAACCTGTTGGTATTGTGTTAAGTGCAGCATTTATGCAAAAGGACAGGTTTTACTGTTAATACTTGTAATTTTTTGCCATTGAACCACATAGGCCAACTTGGCCACCAAATGTTATGCGAATACGAAAATGTGTAACAGCACTGCAGCGAATCTACCCGTATCTATATTTTCTCTAATGTGTCAGAGGCGAATGAATCTTACTGCAACTAGTTTAGTATTGGATTGCAACATTGGTCTATCTTCCACACATCCAGATACTGTCTACAAGTAACGAATGCCCCATAGAAAGTAAAAAAAGTTTCTTTGATGATAATTTGCCTTCGGTTGCGACATTGAAAAACTGTTTTCAGTTTCAGTTTCATTCGATGAAGTTTTCTCGTGCAGTGAGGTTGTTTCTTGTTTCAGTTTGTTAATTCAATAAAATTGTGTGATCATATTACAAAATAGTTAATATTAAAATAAATATGAATGTTATACAATTTTTACAATTTTACATAATATTTATGGCATTAAGTCCGAACAATATCAGTGCACTTGGATTTCGATCAACAATGGTTGTAATTTTTATCTTAACTTAATATTATAAAGCAAGTTTGTTACTTAATTCTTTTGTATTTAATGTAAATATGTAAATACAAAAAACTATACAATAATATATAAAATATATACATTTAAGAAATAAATATATAGCTAGTAATATAAAAAAAAAGTATTTTAAACTATAACAAAATTAAAAATATTGCACTTAATTGTTTATTAAAATAAAAAATATTAAATTAATATATCAATTAAGTTGCATTTATTTAAACTTTAACAAATTATAACAATAAAAAATCAAAATTTTTTTATTTACGATTCTTTGAAAAATAATAAAAGAAACAAATAATAAAAATTTATTATTACCTATTAAGATATTAATAATATATATTGATAAATTCAAATATTCAGATTAATGAATAAATATCAAATATCAACTAAGCTGAGTTAAATTAAAATTGAAAAAATTATAATATAACAAAAATAAACAATTCAATGAACAGTATTTTTAACCAATAAAAATAATATTAACTAATAAAAAATTAAAAATGATTTGTATAATAATGTTTTGAATAAGTTAAATAAATAGTGAAATAATAAATAAATTAAATTGTTTATTATATAGCAAATGAAATTGTTTATTATATAGCAAGTTTATAAATTAATTTTTTTCTATCCAAAATGAGTAAGAGTAAGTTAAGTATGTAAACTTATATATAAATAAAAAAGTTATGAAAATTATATATAAATAAATAAATAAATAAAATAAAATAAAATAAAAATTTTTAAAAAAAGTAAATATATAATAAATAAATAAATAAAAATATATAAAAATAAATTAAATAAATAAATTAATATATTAATTAAATTGAATTATATTAAATTTGAAGAAAATTATAGTAAAAATTAATGTTTTTATATTTTAAATAAAAGTAAGACCCTTTCTTTTAATAAGTAATAAATAATGTATTTATAATAAAATAAATTGTAATTTTATAATAAGTTTTTATTTATTTCTTATTATTCAAAATGAGTAAGAATTAGTTGAGTATATAAATTGCTTAAATATAAAAAAAAATTCACAACAATGTATATAACATATAATTTTATGTAAAATTTAAAAAATCATAATATTTAAAAAAAAATTTTATCTATTAAAAATTAATAAAATTTAAAGAAAAATTTATCTACCAAAATATTAAAATATTTCTAGTAAACTTTATATTGAAATTAATATGTATTACATTAATATACCAATTATATTGAAGTAAATTAAATGTGAATAAATTATACCAAAAAAAATTTAAAAGAAATTATGGTAATTAATATAAAATGAAGGACAAATTTTTATATTTTAAATAAAATTAATAAATAAAATAAAAACGTTTCTATTTAAATAAATAAATACAGAATTTATAAATAAATTAAATTTTATATTATATTACAAGTTCATTATGCAAGTTTTTAATATATATGAAAAACAATATATATAAAAAACATTTATTAAATATTAAATATGTAGCTAACAATAAAAATTTGAAGAAAAATATTTTTATCTAAAAAAAATTTAATATATTTTAATTTATTTATATTCAAATTAATAAAAATTTAACTAATAATAAGAATTAAATAATTTAAAAATTAATTAATAAATAAATTAAGATTTTTTGTAATTAAATTATAATAAAAAATTAAATGAAAAAAATCGCTATTAACTATTAAAAATTTGAATATTTATTTATTAAATTGTTTATTTCAAAAAATAAATAATTAATAAACATATAAATAAAACAAATTAAACTAATTATATAATTTAAAAAAAAAATATATTTTAAATATATTTAAAATAAATTATAAAATAATTATATAATTGTAATAAAAATATTAATATTTAAAATTAATAATTAAGTATATATGTTTTATTTTATTTTTAAATTACAATACTTTCAAATTATACAAATAGGGATTAAAGATTCTTATTGCATTTCATTTAATCAATTTTTTTGATCACTTATTAATTAATTGTTAATTTATAAGTATATATTATCACAATTATGCATTAAACTACTAGTGTTAATTGTTTAAAACTAATGACCAACACAATTAAAAATATCAACATTATAATTTTATTGATTATCATCAAAAAAATATGATATTTCCGATGATGTATGGTTATTATATGGTTAAAAAAGACGTTTTTAAAATTTTAAATATATATAGTATCGCTTGACGTAGTTGTGGTGGTTCATTTTTCACATAACTTAAATTTTAATTCCAACTCTTTCGATACGTCTTGACCTTCAGACAGTTCTGCGATTTTATTAGCTATGTTCCATAATCATAGCTTATCACTTTAATTTACTTTAGTTTACTTTCACTGCACTTCAGACAGTAACTTTCTTGGATGTTACAATTCTTGATAGTTAACTTATTCTTCGTCAATTAATTAAATATACAAATGCTTTTTAAATTCATATCTATGACTAAAAATGATTTCATTCGAAACTAGAGAGTATGAATTAAATATTATCAATGTAATGTACATCTTAAATTAAAAATTGATTTTTGAGGTTAGAATCAAAGCATCAAATCTCGAAGAGTTATGTTATGTTCCGTCACTGACCAATAGATATATTTATATATTACAATTTAATTACAATTTTTTAGATAATACAATACAATGTACTTTAATCAGTAAAATATTTTAAAATAAAATATTTTTATATTGATAAAATTTATAAAATTAAAAAGGATATCTGACTTATTTATTTATTAAATATTACAGAAAGCAAAATGCCTTAATCCACCACGTACTGCCCGGCGTGTTGAAAACTATATTCAGGAATGCCAGGAAGAGGTGAAAAACAAACTAGTCAGTGGTAAGTAAACAATTTATTTTTACTTTTTATTACTTAATAGATAACGGTATCATAGATCAATTTCATTATTATCTCTTAAAATTTAATTTATTATCTTAATAAAGAGAAACAAAGAACTAGAAAGATTAATATATGAGTGAAGCGAAAGGCAAATAGCTGTTAAATCAACAAAATATATTACAATAATATATATTTAATTAGTAAACTTTTTCTATAACCAATCATTGATATATTTTTCAAGGACCACCTGTTGTTTTTCTTTTTATTCCACATGCCATTTGCATAGGTTAGAACCAGGATAACTAGTATTTACAAAGCCCAAGATTATTTTCAATCACCAATATATGATAGTTACCAAATTAAATCACTAAATGATCGTTATATGATCGTTAAATGACATTCTTTAAACTTACTATATTTTTGATGGTTTTATTTATGTTTTTTTTAAGTGTTTAATCTTTTTATAAAGACAATATTTTGTAAATTTAGTACCTTTCTCGACAGATCTTTACATAATTATGCAGTAGATATTGTTCGAACTTTTTCTAAAGCTTATAACATTCTTTCTTTTTCTTACTTAATAACATAGTTCCTTTTTCTTTTGCAGAAGCTTATGATATACTGAAGCATGAAGTCTCCCCCACGGATGAAATACATGAAGAAGACGAATACTTAGCAACAACAGAGGCAATGGAAACGGTCACTTATCCTTATTATGAAACAAATATACCGAGCACACATCTCGGAAATAAAAATGAAAATTCTGAAGAGAACCCATCAACCTACCACACGTACAATGAAATGCCCATAAGACGCAAGCGAACATCAGAGCAAATATCACCACGCCGCTCAGATGACATCTACTCTTATGATTACAATGAAATCTACCACCCCACCTTGGTACCTCCTGAAGATAAACGCATAGCGGGTGTAAGTATGCAATTTTAAAAAGAAAATAGAATAGAATTGTTTGAGGCGTGCATTTATAATTCAATTTCATTAACAAATTCTGTGAATGCATTGAATGCTTCTTCATGGTTGCGGCTGCAGTCGAATTAACCCAAGCAATACCGACCGTAGGCAATTGTTGGCATTGATTTTAGGCAATTAAGTTGCATGCAAGTAGCTTCAATGCGTCGTTGAGACAACAACAACAATAAGAATGACTGTTAAAGTCAGGGTTTTGGAGTGCTAAAAGCGACTACTTTAATTTGCCACAACAACAAGAAAACAATTAAAAAATTAAAAAAATTAGAAATTTTCACACATAAATTAGATATTTTGCATTTATTTGTTTATTTTATTTGTTTAATAATTATTCATTTGTCTTATATATATTTTTTTTTAATGAATGCACTATGTTGTTTCAAATTAAATGAATGCTTATTAATAAAATTTCACTCCTGCCTCCGCTTCTCCTTGTATGTTTCTTTAAAAAGTTCATTGATGATTTTTAGTGTTTGCTGCATTGCGTTTATGCCAAAAATAATGCAATCGATAAAATGGGTTGGCCAACGTTGGACGGACTTGTGCATTTTTACTCGGAAGGTGTTAATGACCATGGCTTCTTCATGGCTACATTGCGTTCAGTTAATCTATGTTTGCATGCCGTCAGCAAAAAGTATCGAGTGAGTCGTTCAAAGTATCCAGAGCAGGGCGAAAGTTGCGATGTAGCTTTTGATGTTTTCGACTGTATATCGGACCAAATTACAGGATACTGTTTAGATAATTACAAACATTAAATTTTGAAAATAATCTAGCAATATTGTTTTAATTTATTTATTTATATTTTTATGAAATAAAAAACCCCATTTAAATAACATTTGTGTTTAAATCTATTAGTCGCTTTTTCACTTTGAATCCGGGTATGTGTAAGCAAAGGATGTCAATGATTAATAAATTATTTTGCATTTTAAAATACTGTATGTAGATGGGAATTTAAAAATCTCTGTACCTTTCTCTGTATATCTTTGCGCTAGAAAAAACTGTACTAATTCTGTAAATTAAATCTTGTTTTGTGACAATTTTCGCCTTTTTTACAATAGGTGATAAGTGATAAAACTTTGAACTAGTTTTTTATTATATAGTGAGTTCTTGGTCAAAGTCCAAAACCACTATTCATCTATAAACAAAATTAAAGCGGACGTGCTTCAATGATCCCCCTTATTATATAATTTATATACAGAAGATTTTCTTTAAACACAATCTATGAACACAATTTCACCCTTTGCTGCCGCGATACCTGCTTTACAAATGCTGACAAAAATGCTAATTTGCATTTTAAAAAGATAATACAATGCTTCCGAAGGTGGACAATTAGAGTTATTACAGAAAAATCGAAAGCTTTATTCATTACAAGAGGTATAAATCAAAATCCAAGAAAAATAGAAGTCAATACTGTGAAAATAGAATGGAACGATAATGTAAAATACTTAGGTCTTAATTTCGACAGAAAATATACTTGGCTAGAGAATTATAAGGATAAAAAAATTGACACACTCTGAATGTTCTAAAACCAATAATACAAGGAAAGTTGAGAGAGAAAAATAAAACTCTGCTTTATAAACAAGTAACTAGACCAAAAGTACTTTATGGCTGTCTTTCTTATGGCAATGTAGCTCCATTCACCATTAAAAAACTTTAAACATAACATTTAAAGTTATGTTATGTTATCAATTTTATATTTGAAATGAATATATATACAAAGACTTTAGAGTCGAGAAGGTGCAGATGTTTATTATAGACAGAGCGCTGAAATTGTTTAATTCTGAGAATGCTCATACTGATTCAGAATTGAACTCTTTTAAATCGAATACACTTAATATTCCGACGGAAAGATATGCTGGGTCTGAAACTATAATTCTGCAAGCTCATTTGAATAATTCAATGAAGTTATTATTAAAGTAAATCACAAACACTATTGAGTAAAAGTATTTTAGACCCCGACTTGGGTTTCATCAAGCACAGAAAAAAAAATTAAAGGATGAAACCACTACATATAAACATATTCTTTTTGTTCTATACACTTATCACGCAAAGATGAATAACTAGGGTTAATGCAGAAAAAACGAAACCTACAAGATGTAGAATTCAAAATTCGTAAACAAATCAATCCATAATCGAAGAAAATGCTTTTAAAGGCAGTTTATATACATATGTCGAAAATTGGACGCGACAATCATCAAGACAATGTACGCAAATACAATATGTGCAACTGGGACTCCTTGATATTTATGTATTATACTTCGAATTAAAAATCTATTCATCAAAATTATGTCAATCAATCGAAAAATTGCGTCAGGAATGCGCCGGGAATAAGGAGTCGATATCCTGGTCCCAAAAATCTCCTTAACAGCTGACATTTTGGGTTACATACAAGTGTTATTGATGAAATATTTCTCATCAGTCACCAAAAAAATTAAATTAAATAATCACGTTCTATAACAAATGAAAACACTTACTAAAATTTTAAAATTTTTCTATTTAGAGAGTTGAGAGAGTTGTAGAGAAAAGAAAGGAAAATAAAATTACGCATAGACATTAGACGCATGTTTTCTAGCATATGTGTACGACATATGTATATATGTCTGCTATGACATTTTACTCGTTCGAATATATTTTCAAACACCGCCATAAATTTAGATCGGTCGGTTTTCATATAACCCCATGTTTTAAAAACGTGTTTAACTACATTGTTATTTTTTTCAAACTTAATTTTTACCTACTATGGCCTGAAGCAAAAATTAATATTCTAAAATCAATTCCCAAAAGTAATTTAGATATTGCTAATATGTATTTTGTATTAGAGTATATTATCGTATTATGCGCTAGATTCTAGAAGCAACCAGATTTAGCTCCCGGCGCTACTTAACTACGACGATCATTGTTTTCTTAACAACATATAGAATTTCAAATCAACTCTCAAAAACAATTCAAATAATACCACTAAATTGTATAATCTAAAAAAAATGCTAAAACCTAGAACTGACTGTTATAGATCCCGAAGTCACTTCTCTGCGACAATCAAGTGCCGGTCAACACTAGTACTGAACTTGCGAATTGACGTTCAAAGGATTCAAAGGAGATTTTAAAATTATAGGTTTTGTAAATACTGCTTCAATTGTGTAACATATTTTCTTAATAACAGTTTAAAGTTAACTTATATAATGCTTTCAATTTTTAAATTTGCAAAGAATTGCTTCCTATGTTTAATAACATATTTTAAATTTTGATTTAAGCGCCCTTCTCCATCCAAGCACAATTATTTAATAATTTTAATAATTTAATTGCAAGTCACTAATTTTTATATAATCTTGCATAATTTTGGTAGCTATTTTTTCGCTATGAACTATACAAAAGTAAACGCAACCAACTTAACTTTTATTATTAGGGCGAATAATATCCGCTGTCACTTTGACATATTCGCCTTAAAATTTTTTCAATTTGCTTGGTTCACATTCGCAGTGAGTTTCTTTTAAAAATATTCTTGTCGTCGCTGTCAAGGTAAAAATTGCTAGTTGATTTTGTAATTTTAATATATAATTTAAAAAAAAAAAATATTTTGTCAAATAAATATATTAAAATGTAAATGATTTTGTGTTCAAATCAGAATTGAAATATGTTTGGGGTGAAAATTTTTGGCAAAACTTGAATTGAAATTTCAGCAGATCAGCCATACAAACAAAATCAGGTCAAGCTACAACAGGAGAAAATTGCAAGTGACACGAAATTAAATATCAAATACAAAACTCAAAGCAAATTTTTATGAAAATTGACACATTTTAAATGTGTCAAAAGTTAAAATTAATATATAGCAAGTATCCAGGTAAAATCAGTGTATTAAATTGTATGAGAGTGTCGCAAACTATAAGTATGCATCCAACGTGCTTATATAATGCAAAAGTGAATATAATACAAAATGAATAACAATAACAAAAAACAAGACAAATAAAAAGAAATAAAAAATGAAAATAGGAAAATTCAGTTTGCATGCGCTGCCCCTGATGTGGCACGCAGGTTTTCTCTGTCAGTGGATTTGTTTTCTTTTTTAATTTTTAATTTTTGGTGGCATAAATGTGTAGTGAGAGTGTTTAAATTTAAATTTATATAGAATGCACAGAGCATGCATATTACTTTTCTACTACAAAATTTAACAATATTTAATATTAAAAGTATAACGTAAAAAGTTTAATTAACATTTTTGGGGCATCGGGTGGATGACGCAACATGCCTTACCTAGGCATTCGTCATGTCTGCCACAGCGCAGCAATTTCGCTGTCATTTTGCGCTCACGTTTTTTACTTCGATTTCCATACAAACGCCGGTTTCTCCCCACAGATCTTGTTTTTGTGTGTATGATTCAGTTTTTTCCTCAAAATTTTTTACTGAAAAATCACAATTTTTTTAACAATAAAACATTTTTGAGTGATTTTGAATAATTCATACACTTGTTTATCAGTTGTTATTATAAATCTTATAAATGTGTTTTTCTAAAAAACAAAAAACCTTTCACTTTGAAAACATGTGCACTTATTGTGGTATGAGTCAAAACGTGTTAATATTGTAAAAAATTAGTTAAAATTAATTACATCGATTAGTTAAAAATAAATACAATGATTTTGTGTAGGAAACTAAGTTTCATTGTTCACATATAGGCATGTCGTCAATACTTAGCGGTATTACTATTGCTTTGTAAAGCAAAATCTTGTTCCCAAAGTTAAATTTATTTGCTTATTTGATTCTGTGAATCTGTGATGTGAGCATTACAGTTGAACCTTATTTGAAACCAAAATGTGATCAAAAATATATATTTTCTTGAATTGTTTAATTATAATAGTGAAACACTATATTAGAAAAAGCATCTGAATTAAATTCATTGAAACTATGTTAGTATCTTAATAATTTCCATTAGTTACCAATTGGTTTTCAATAATATCCCTAAACTAACTCTGCTTATAATCAAGTTGTGTTCTTAACAGCATATGAGATTAGTCTCTTAATAATCTCCATTAGTTAGCAATTGGTTTTCAATAATATCCCTAAACTAACTCTACTTATAATCAAATTGTGTTCTTAACAGCATATGATATTAGTCTCTTAATAATCTCCATTACCTACGAATTGGTTTTCAATAACATCCTTAAACTAACTACTATAATCAAATTGTGTTCTTATGAGATTAATGTCAAGAGAACAGTCCCATTTCTCAAAAAATGTACTTAATTTTGTTATGTATAATGTATAGTATATAGTAGGTTACAATATGTCGGTTTTCAAAATAAAAACATTTTCATCTTTTATATACATAACTGAACTGCTAGCCTTAGTTTCCGTTGTACTTGTGATAGACATAATGTGTCACTTCAGTTCTCCATGGGATTAAGATATAAGAATTTGTTTCACATACTACATATGATTCAATTAATACGTAAAAAAAACTTTAATTATTTAATTAATTTAAATTACTTAATGAACTAGTAGAAATGATGTGTTACATCTATGTGAAGTTTAGAATGCATGCTGCACACACCCTAACCTATTGTATAAACCCCTGACTAACATAAGAACAACCTTTGTCTTCTACGAATAGAGATCTTTTAATATTTATTTAACTGTACAATATTGTTGTAGTCCGCAAGGAACTGCTTGTGTAATTCCATATGGGTGTTCTGCATGGCACGTGGTAACTCTGAGACGTAGACTCGAATGTTTTTTTAATAATCTAAAACACAACTTTGTTGTACAAGTTGAACATGTATAGCTTACATAAAAACAATACATACCCACTTCCATTACCTTACCATATTCTAACCTATGCATACGTATTTCTAACTCCTTTCATGTTTATTTGTCATAAAGATTTCCACTGGTTAATACAAGAAGAATAGTTTACACTTCTTTAATCTTACAAAATTCTTACGCATGTATACGTATTTGTAATTGCTTTTATGTCTTATAGGTTTTCACGGATTACCACAACAACAAGAAAACCCATAATTTTATTTCAAAAACTAAACATTTTCCCTGTTTAGTGTATTTAAAAATATCATTTATTTAATATGCATAGTTGTTACATTACTTTGATAATACTCTGATTCTCCAGAACTAGTAACAATATTTCAAGAAATATTTTTTAGAGCTGATCCGTTTTTAAATAAGGTTTTTTCGTGTTAAACAAACCAATCAGAAATCGATGATATATAAATATATTAATTAACATAGTTAATATATATATATATATATTAACTAAAGTAGTGATTAAAGAATTAGCATATTACATTGGTGGATTCTTTGTTCATACTATTGTTTATGTTATATAGATGCGTATACTCCAGTCACTCAACATTTCAAATCATCAAAGTGTCGCTAATTTTTCTATAAGGCTTCATACTAAATCTTAGTTATTTTTAGAGTGTTTTCCTAATATCAAAATTTACTTGTTCATGGAGATATTATACAGTTCTTAAACTGTACAAACATTTAATTAATAATCCCCAATTGTATATTTGCTTTTACCCCGTTTGGTTTATTTCTGGCATTTTAATCACATATGTAATCATTTAAATTATATTGTTTCAAATAATTTTATATTTGTTTTCTCAAAATTCTCCCTTTGTACAACAATAATTGCGTATAAATACAGATCATCCATTAATGAATATTCAGTATATTAAAGAGAGAATATATAATGAAATCTGATTATAGGTAAAAAGTTTATTTCGTTTTACTTAAATAGTTCTAATAGAACTCTATAAAAATTAAAGCGATTATTTTTTTGATCTATGATCAATTGATACAAAACTCAATGAGCAAAGCTAAATAGGTGATATTTTCATTTTGTTTAAAGGTTTACTTTAATTTAAGACTTTAATTTCTGTTTATAAACATTAATACCCTAGCTCAGTAGCGTACATGTTAGTTTTTTAAGATTCGCAAAATTATTGCCAATTTCTATTTAGAAAGATTTAATAAATAATCCAATGTGTTTATCGGTTTTAACTGAGCTTCCAGAAATTGGAGCATCTACAACATCGAAATTATCGAAATGAAATTTTCGCTCTGATATTGTCTCAGTACATATTTTCCATATATATTGAATATTTTTTTTTTATAGTGAAATGGTAATATATTTTTGCGACTCTATGCTCCTCCTAGAAGTTAAAGGATTATAAAGAATTATGTTATATATAATAATAACATGTTTAATAAATTAAAATCAATAAATTTTTTCACTTAACAATTCTGTTTATAATAGATGTGAAAATATATAATGACAATGTGGTTTAAATAAGAAATTCTTTCTTAGAAAAAAAAATTAATTTCAGATTAACCAAATATTGGTAATTGCTGATACAATAATGAAGCAGCAATAGTGGATGCGATATTAAGAGTTTACGACGGAATTTGAGATTCAAAATGAGCATATATTTGAGTTTATCTCCACTCCATGTGTGGGTTACGCTTTCTTCTTTGAATCTGATTTTTGTTTACATTAACTATTTCGAAATTAATGAACACAAAATTTAAAATTGAACATAACATAAGATGCATATAAGTACCATTCAGTGAATGATAATAGATACATATTTTAAGATGATTATATGACCTCTTACAATTTTTTTTTACGTCTTAGCTTACTGATTTTCCTATAAAATTGAACACACTGCATGTCTACATTTATTAACAATTTCTTACATCTCATAAAAAATTTTCTCTTGGTCTCATTTTTAAATAAAAGTCTTGGCCTCATCGTATTAAAGTCTTTTGTTATTATACTACATTTTTACCCACAAAATAAATTACTTATGTCCTCTGCTTTATGTGTATACAACAGAATATATAACAGAACTCAGCATAAATACGTTAACAAAAATAAATCAAAATATGTCATCAACAAAAATATATATATTTTATATGCGTACTCTAAAAATACAGTTAAGTGGTGGAGGCTTGTCTAACACCTTCTGCGACAATGTCTTTATTCTCCATACCACAAATATTACTCTTATCGTTTGCCTCTGCATAGCAACTTAAGTTCATTATGTACATTTCTGTGCTGAAGAAAGCTTGTATATTTATTGCTCAACTCTTTTACACTTGCTTGTGTGAATACATGCATATCCACTAAATAACTGCACGATCCATCATAGAGCAATCACACATATGATTTCATATGTACATGTAACCTCCAAGAAATACAGAGCATCTAGTATTTCTCTTCAACTCTTTAATAAACTTTTTCTTTATGGGGGCTCGTCACCGTTAGTGTTCATAGTACAAATTACTAATACGTCTCATTTCCGGTCAATTTCTTGCACTTACTATTAAATGATTTATTTATTATTATTTTATTAAATAATTACTGTGTGATTAGTATACTTCATAAAAGTATAAAAGAAATAAAGTTTACTTTAAAATTTTTTATCGTAATTTTTATCTATAATGTGCTGTCGTAAATGCATATGAATAATACTATATTTTGCAATACTTTTAGGAAACGGTTAATTAAAATAAATTCTCCGGTAACTTCAAGTTATTATTAAATACTTTGTAGTTATATGTTTGTATTGTTTTGCAAAAATTTTTTTAAAATTACAATCATTTAAATACCTTAATGTTTAAATAAATTTATATTTAACGATATTATCTCAGTTAAGCGTCATTAACAATATTATATAAAAAGTTTTACTCTATTTCTACCTTCTGCTTAAAAAGTACTCGGATTTTGTAAATAAAACACACAAATTTAAATTTTATTCCAAATTTATTTTATCTCCTTCAAAAACTGCTCCTTTTGAAGCGATACGCATATGCCAACGCTTAACC